AAGTATTTGCAAAAAAGTTTTGGAAGGAACAGAAAGAAAAAAAAAAAAAAGAAAGAAAATACCACCCTACATAGTATGGAGCCACTGAAAACCTGGAACCTCTTTCTATCTCCATTGCCAATGCTGATTTAATAAAGCCCTAGAAACACACCTAACATCTTTTCCTCCTCAAAAGGGTGCTCCCACAGTCCTGTGCCCCAGTGCCAGCCCCTCCCGTGGTACTCACTCGAGTGAGGGAACACCATTGGCGACGGCGCCCTCGTAGCGGCTGATGCCCTTGTGCAGGGTGACGCTGATCTGGCCGCCCAGCTCGTCCGCCACCACGCCAGCATGGATCGCGGATTTGCACAGCAGAGACGTCTGAAAGGCAGGAGCCAAGGCTCAGGAAATCAATCTGACAGACTGCTAATGCCTTCCCTTCCAAGCCACTGGTATACAGGTGTTACAGCTCATAAAATCCAGCAAAAGCTCAAGAGGAATAAGAGGCAGGGGAGGGAGAAAGAACAGTAATCTTTGAAAAATATACATCTCTCAAAGTAATTTTTCTTTTCAAGTGAAAAAACAAATAATCTGCTTCTGAGAAGGTGCTGTAAGATTGTCACTTATCAGGACAAAGAAGTCAAAGGCAAGGCAACATTTCCTTGGGAAGATAAATCAATAATTCCTTGCTGTTCTTGCCTGAAGGCAGACCTATCTATTACTGCACCTTAGGATCTGAGTTATGGTGTACATTAGGGGATTTGGCTATGTGTTGAGTAGCTGCTGCTGGGTTTTAGGTGCCCCTTTCCCAGTATCTTAGGTGGGATATGCTGAAAAATACAGGCAGGACAACTCCTCATGTGCCAAGTAGGTGGCAAAAACAGGACTAGGGCAAAGCAGGAAAGGGACAGAGAAAGGTACGAAGGAGACTTTCCTACTGGCTGCAGGCAGAGGCTGGTCAGGTTCACACTGGCCCAGTTTGGGCTGTGCTACTGGACAAGCTGGAGTGCAGAGTTGTCCCCTCCAGGGAGGGGTGGGGAGAGTGGAGGCACAAAGGCAACACATCTCCAGGGGAGCCCTGAAGGTTCTTCCCATCAGAAAATCCTCCTTAATGGTGGAGGGAAAATTTCTTTTGCAAATTCCTCAGTGCAGATAAAATCTGCATGAGGTCATGCCATGTGCTGCTTTTCTGCCCTAATCATTGGAACCAAAGGCAGAATAACTCCAGCTAATGAGAATGTAATGTGGCTTTTCTTTGTTTCTTCAGCTCTGCCACTTTCCAGGCTGGAGCCAGCACACTTGAATAACTGGATGAACAGGTTAAACCTGAGCACTGACTTTTTGGAAACTCAGTGACTGTGATAGGGTGGGATTTTTCTTCAGTAGTATGATTAGGCTTACTCCTCCAGAAGAGAGGTAAAGATTTCACAGACATGACAGGAGAAGAGAGTCCAGGGCAAGGGGCACAGAGAGGGCAGATCTCTGAGTGACATGAACTGTGGATAAATGCAACCACTTCAACTTCTTCAGTTTAAAGAACAAGAAGTTAAAACAACCCACGAGCTTGGTAGTTACCAGTGGGATGTGGTTAGGAAGTGTGTAATATTTATTTCATCTCAGAGCACATGCTAGGATAGTGCAGGCATAACTTAGAGAAAACCCACATGTTACTGAGATGTATCTTTTTCACACATGAACACCAAACAAGTAAAAGCTAAAATCATAGAAATATTTCATACATGGATGAACACTGCCTCAAGAAGGACAAACACTAGGCAGGCTTTTTCCAGAAAGTCAGAAACCACAAGTCAGTAGGTATATTTGACAATCAGTGGACTTTGTTCTCACACAATTGATTTGTCTGTTTGAAAAGTGTCTCTGTGTGCTTATATACTGATAACTTACTTATATACTGATAATAAAGGTATAGCAAAACAGCCCAGAAGAATAACTAACAAAAGTCAAGCATCAAAAGTTGAAACCAAGTTTTTCTATTCTTGTTTCTTTTGTCTTTATAATCTTTCCCCCATTATCCTGTGTACTTACATCTCTGTATCCTTCTCCAATATTCCCAGAAATGTCACCTGCTATGTCTCTGCAGCCAGCAGGACAGTATCTGCTGTAGTGAGAGAAGAAAGGCTTGTTTAAGGCATGAACTGTAGTGACAATACACACAAACTCCTACGAAAGAAATGTTCTCAAAACAATAAATATTTTAGCAGTAATTTCTGGCTGATGCTCTGTTAGTGAGTCTAGGAGCTAAATAAATGGGCCCTTGAGTTCCTAGGTGGACGGAACACAGCAGCACACAAAGAACCAGAAAAGCACTTTAGCAAGGGCATTTATTTCTGTTTAATTCTCTTGTTCTAGAAATGCTACCACACAACTCTTCAGAGTAAGATAAGAAGCCTATATGCATATCCAGACAGCAGCCAGAAGAGCACAAGTTATTACCATTTCAAACCTATCACAAAGTTCAAGGAACCGAGAAATTATAGCTTGTCCTCAGATAATCTTGTATCAGCTGGGACGTGATCTGCTCCCAGAGGAAGCACTAGAATTTGAGGCTACTTTGAATTTCAAAGTGGAAACTCTTTTTACATATACCATGTATATGTATGCACCTAATGAGAATTGCTGAGAGCTCTGCAACTCCATTCTATCATTTTTCTGGGCCACAGTCTTCCATTCTGCACTACTGCTTCTCACAACCAGCATTAGACCATTACAGCACTGGAGCTCAAAAAAATTCACTCCTCCAGAAAACCAAGACTGTTTAACATTTTCTAACAATTTAATAAGTTGACAGATACTGTAAAGCAAGCCAGAATGGAGAGCTGCAAACCCTCTTTACCTGAATTCAGCCTTTGTGTAGTGGTTTGCTCGTTCCAAACAGGTGATTAGATCTGTGAAAAGTTTACGAATGTCAATTCCCATTTTAGAATGTAAAAATACAGACAAATATTTCCCAGAACATGAAATTGCATTTAAAGACCTCTCTGTATAATACTTGAGCAATTTTATTAGACAGGAAGCAACAGCTATGGTTTTCTTTCATTCTTTTCAACTCCCTCTTCTACCCTTCTTATGCTTTACACCTTCTTCAAAGTTTTATAGACCTCTAGAACATTAAATGTGGGAATGAAAACTTTAATCCCTCCTACTCCTCCATTCTATCACAGTGTGATGGATGCTAGAGCTCAAAACACAGTGGAGCTTCAAGGAGAGGGCACTATTTTCCCCTCCATGGGCCCTGTATGGCAAATGGTCTAGGTAGGCTTTCAGCAGCTATTATCTCTGGCTAATGTTACAACTGTTATAGCACACATGCTATTAAAAATACCATGGCTCATGCTAACCTGGAAATATTTAGGAACAAACATTTAGGCTAAAGCTCTGTGTGTGTAGAGATGATAATTAAATAGGGGGAACTATGCCACTCATCTTCTACTACTTTTGGACATCACCTTACCTGGATGATCACTGCTGGCATAGGACAACAGAAAGCCTCGTCCCGACACGTGGGATCCACTCTCAAAGTGAATAGTTGCCTCATTGCTATCTAGAATGATTTCTTTGGGGACAGGCATCACATTACCACAGTACGGTCCTACAGACAGAACAAAGAAGATTTCAAAAGCTTAGATGACATAATTAGGCTGGGAAAGTCTCATGATTAGGAAAGAATTTCATAACACACTCATTCTCTTTCAGTATCAATCCAAATGTTGACAAAAGGGTTTTGGCTTTAGTCCGTTATGGGTATGAGCTCTAAAGCTACCCTGACATGGAGTGGCCAGGATCCAGTTGTCTCTGCATGGCAGCAATTCCAGCATCCACATTTCTCATCGCATAAGCCTTAAGAGAAAGATTAATGCCCTTCGACCTTTGAAGTACAGCATGCTTACAACCAGCAGTAACTCATTAGAGAAAATGACACTACATTCAGAAGCAATCCAAGGAATCTAGGCAGGGTCCCTGAGATAAACCCTCCAAACACACACAGCTCATGCCACAGTGGCACAGCAGCCAGTCAGAAAGGATTAAGATCAGAAGCAGAGCACCTGGTTTTTCAAGGACCCACATGCCACAAGCTGAATTGTACAACTAGGCAGTAATGCTTCCCTTAGAACATTTCCTAATATTTTTCCATTTTAAAACACCATTAGACCATGGAAGTATACGGTTCGAGTCTCTAGAGTGTTAAGCAAAAAAAGGAGAGGGAGAAAAAGGGGAAGATGAAGGGAGTGGGACAGAGAGACAAAAGCCTCGTGCTCACAGTGAATTAGATAAGGGTTTTATAGCTATCAGCTGCAGTATCTTGGAACAGTCTTTGGGACACTCCTTTCTTGTGACAGCAGGCGTGCTCAGGACTCCTAGTAATTACATTTGCTTCCTCAGAAAAATCAGTTCCTGAGGGGAGTGCTCCTTTGAGACTGCCACAGTCTTTGCGCTTGCCTTCTGTCACCATACCTGGGTGCAAACACTTGTCCCTAGCTGCCCTCAGGCACAGATAATACAGAAAATTCAAATCAGTTTGGATATACTTGTTCAAATTTATGAGTCTATTTACAACATAAACTGAAAAGAAGAGGTTTTTGTAAGATGGCAAACAGACTTTTTTCCCCAGAGGAAAAAAAAATCCAAATGACCCTTTACAAGTCCTCAGCCCATCTGTTCTGCTGAGGTGAATGACAGCTTTTGTGTCCTAAAGCAAGTCTTCTGAATGGAAAATGATTACTTTGATTTTTCCTAAACAGCCTCATCTTGGTGGTTGTGGCTACTTTAGGGCAACTTGGAACTACTTCTGAAACACAAGAAATTACATTCACATCATGACACAAATCTGATGAGTGATACCCATCATAACAGGCTCCTAAAAACCTTTTTCATTTTGTTTGATACTCAGGGTTAGGGAAGGGGCTCTTTTCCAAATACTTCATTTGCCTTATAACAACTATAATGTCAGCCTATAGAGGAGCCCAATCAGAGCCAACGACAGCCAGCTGTCAACAGAATGGGTCAAACAAAAGAAGGAACTCTTGTCCTTTTGGCTTATAAAAATCAAATGGTGAAGCCAGGCAGGCAGAGAAACAAGCGACAAGTGTGACATTTCCCTGGAGTACTCATGTGTCGAAAAATGACTCACGACTTAGTCAGAGAAAACAATGTCTATAAAAAGGGTTAAACAAATTGCTTAGGAAATGAACTTATCAAAAAGACAGCATCTGACACTGTGTCATACCAGACAACTGCACGAGTGATTTATTTGAGAAGGTCTTTTGTGTCAGGTTGCAGTGGGAGAAGTGCTAACTTAGATATTTTTTAGAGAGAGAGAAAAACGGGGAAAAGACAGAGAGCATTACACATCTTCAAAATAAAACACCTGAGAAAGCTTTAGTCCTTCTCTTCTCTCAAGGACGGTCTCTACATATTTTCTCACAAGTGTTCTTTGGCTTTCTCCCTTGCAGCAATTGGCACTGACCTATCTACTCTGGAGGTATAATTTAGATGGCTGATTCATGCAACCACACATCAGCTGGATCAGGGATGAGTGTCTCCTCCAGGAGCAAGTTTACATATGTTCCAGATAATTATATGAACAAATCATACATCATGAGCAAAACCAACAAAACAAAATAAAATAAAATACAAAATAGTCTAGACTCACACACAACTGTATAATCCAAATTAAAGCAAGAAATTCAGAAGCAATCAGTTTAAGAAACCAACGTTCAGTGTCTAAAGACAAGTTTCTACTGTTAAGTAATAAATCAAAAAATGTTACCAGGCTATGGTTATCTTCTGCTGAGAGCAGCTCTGGTGAACCAAGAGATTCCCATGGGTAGCTCAAAATAAAGGGAGCCTAGGATTAATTCCTTGGAGGATATAGAAGCAAAAGTATATACTCAAGGAAGGAATATTTTCCAAAGGTTTCTAAGTTTTCTGCAAAAATTTGTAAGAAAAAAATGGGTTCACTTGTTTGTTTGTTGTAAACTGAGGAAGCCTTGCAAAACATTTCAATATATTTACTCTCAATAATTCAGGTAATACCATATCTGCACTACACTGCCAGGTCCTCAGATTTCCCTGGGATTTGGCAGAGTTTATTTCCATGTTATCAAGTACAGAAATAAGTGCTGAGAGGGAGGGTTCAGGAAAAAGTATAAGCATTATCTCACCCCTAAACTGCAACTCTTAGAGAAACTGATCAGACACCAGTTTGACTCCAAGGTGCTTTACTCCCTGAAAGAACTAGAGACGTGTACAGTCTGGTTTTTAGGAAAAGGTGTTAATCCACTCTTTTAGTGCTTAGAGTGTTTAGAATGACCAGTGTAAAAGCACCCATCAGATTTGCTTTATCTGATAATACAGGTTTTGGTTAAGCAGCATCTCTCTCCCATTTTGCCAAGTCTTTGCAGAGCGGCCTTTCTGACAATCCTCTGGGTTCAGTTTTGACTGATGAGAGACATGCTTTCATCTGTTTTTAAATTTTCTTTAGAAAAGTAACATCTTTGTTTTTATGTACTCTCTTCCCATGCACCTCCATACATCAATCCTCTTATTTCCCTTCACGTTGCAAAGCCAGAGACAGGACAGTGTCCCAGGCTCTCTGCATTTTGGCTTGTGGTGTGCCTGGTTAGATGCACTTGCTATAGACACAGTAGTGCCCGGTAGGTTTGCTCTCTATTGACTCACAATTACCTCAAATACATATATTTAATATGAGAATTTATAGACATTAGAAGACTAAACCCAGCCAGCATCTGTACACGTTAGACTTCATCTGAAAATGTATTTCATCTACTCAGTAATTTCCATTTGCAACTGAGGTGACAAAAATGCTTTCACTGTTTACTTTTAAAACTCATATGTGCTCCCCATTTTGACTGTCCATTCCACCTGAAATTCATGGATTTCCCTGGGCTGTCTACAAATACTGTACAACCATAGTGAAGATGAGAGACGATGGAGAAAACCCCGGTATGAAAATGAGAAACATGCTTATAGGGGCCTGTTAATTTTTACTGCAGCATTTGGACTTGACTCTGGATAAATATTTAATTCCTAAACCTGGGACTTAGCCAGAAGTTTTTTAAGATCCCTTTTGAGAACTGCCAGATCACATTATCAGTTTTTCATCTTCTAATGTTAGTTGTGAGGTGGGTTGTTTTGCATATTCGGCTTGAAAAACGAGTCATGAATGCTGATCTCTCTCAGCTTCCTGTTAAAGTGACTTGGCTGGAGCTCTGCTGGGGTACGTAGGCAGCATTATTTGGTTTGTTTATAAGAACAAAGGAAAGAGTTTGGTTTAATAAACAGATGTGTTACATGTGATGAAGCTGAGTAGGTGTTCTCCATATTTCAATGTGACTATATCGAGATGCCAGGGCCTTTTCTTCTTTCCGTGTCTCATTAAGAAGTTGACCCAACTGTGGTTCCGTCTGTTCACTCCAGATTCCTTTTATATATATTTATAAAAATTCTGCAGGAGAGATATTAGAGGTCTAAGGACTTCAAGTATACTAATTTTAATATTCTCCATAATTAAACTAACTTTTAATGCCTTTCATGCAGAACATTTGATCTATTGGTATGGTTTAGGTGGCTTAAATAAAACACTTTTGTCTCCAAGCAGTATTAACATCCTGCAAAATACACAGTAAATTGTCTTGTGGATATCCTTTGGCTGGCCCCCTCTGGAAACTGAAGAGACTATTTTACATGTTGTTTATTTTTTAAATGTTAGCAATAGCCTAATGCTTTTGTCTTTTTTCATAACAGTGTTGTTTTGCAAATCTGATGATCTTTACAGCATTGTCTGGTTTTATGAGGTCTAGTTTACTTCTACTGTCAACCAGGATCTGGCACAGCTCCTGAGCTTTCTTTGTTGAATTATGTTCCTTTATTTTTTTTCTACTTCCCTTAAGAAGTACTGTGCCCAGAGGACTCTCTTCTTTCACACCAGCTGGCAATGCCTACATGGTGCTTGTTTCTCTAGTTCTTAATACTTTCTACCTCTTCTGTACGGCTTTTGCTTCCTTTTAGAAGCAACTATTTCCCTCTTCAGCTATTGAATGGCTGGTTCACTGTGCTCATTCTGCTTTCAAATTCCTCAACTTCATTTGAGATTTGAAGCTGCAGACTTCATTTGCAGCTTGACATTTGCAGAGGTCTTTAAGAAACTTGGTTTGGATATTAAATAATGATGTCCTCTGTTCAACAGAGAATCTTCTCCCTTTTTTTCAGTCTTGCAGAGTAAGCCATGGTTAGCAGGCAAGACGAGCAACAACCCATGGATGTGCCTCTAAAGGATTATCATGTCTTAATGCATTTGTTTGGGGGAAACTGTTTTAAACTGTAGCCTTTTCTCAAATAAATAAATTTGGAATTACCTCAGTATCTGGGGAAGAACAGGGGATAAAATGAACACAGATTACACTTGTTTCATTTCAGAGCTGGAAACTCATACAGAGTGCAAGTCTTCCACAAGTAGTTAACAAAACCAGCAAGGATCTGTTGTATGAAAACATCTTCAGTCTCAAAACTCATCTCCATCCCACATTCACATAAATACTTCGATAAGCAATCACTCTTCCTCGCCCCCTT